ATGGAAATTCCCCACTTTTAAATGGAAATGTCCACATTTGTTGTTGTTTGGCAAGTTTATAAAAGAAGACAAAAAATGTTTTGTAAACTGTAAAGCACTACATAAACATAAGATTATGTTACCCCTTGCATTTTCCCTCAGATGTCCTTAAGAGCATTCATTTGCCAATTTCTTGTTTCCTTTAATTAATTTTAATTTTATACTTTTTTTTATAATAGAGAAAGAAGACGGGTTAAGAAAGCCCTTCAAGAAAAGAGTTCAGAGAAACAAGAGAAAAAATGTGTGACATTCCGATCAGAGGATTCCATTATTAATCCAGATGATTTAGAAGTAGTTGTGAAACAAGAGGTAGAGGAAAGTTACTGTCAAACTTTACTAACTCACATGTACATGGAACTCTGCCTTTTTACTGTTTGGATTAATCTTAGACATTTACAAAGATTATAAATTGACAAATTCTCCAGTACATTAGCATAGTAAGGCTTATGTTCTAAAATGGATATTGCCTAGAAATAGGATTTTTTCTTAAGTTTTTAAGTATTTATTTACACAAGAATAGCCTTCATATTTCTAATGTTAAGATTTAACAGGGTCTATATATAATATAGACATAATCAAAATATACTACTTGAAAATATCTCTAACCCCAAATCATTCCTAAAATATGTATACCAACCACTGACTTTATAGTGAATTGAAAATACTACATTTTACTGTCTGGGTAACAAACTTCATGGGAATGGATAATAACTTTACTCAGTATGATGCCTAAATAATGTTAAATACCAAAGATAATAAGCCACATTTTACACTAACCAAACATTCATTTTGGGATTTATTTAGGATCAGCAAGAACAACCTATTCCTCAGCCTACTGATTGTTTTGTAATTCCTTTGGGTATGTATCTTTGTGATTTATAAATAAGTTATATCTAATTTAAAGATCAGATAAGCTTTTTGAGGGATAAGCTTACATAATCACAAGAAGTAACTAGATTAACTAGATTTTTCACATCATCTGTAATAAGAAGATAAATTTTCACATATATAAATATGCTTATATCCAATGAAAGCCTCCCCTAGAGAACAATCATCAGGTTTTGGTATTTGAGGACTGAAGGAAATGACATGGTTAAGTGGGTAGGGTCACACATACCAACAAAATATTCAGATAAGCAAATTTATAGAGGTTCTGTATTGGTTACAATATAGGAATTGGTTCAGAAAAGAGAACACAGTAACTATACCCAGAAAATTGATTTAAGTTGTTGCCCAACTATAGGCATATTCTAGGTCTTAAGAAGATCAAGATGCTTGATATTCCTCTCTCCTCTCAACGTATTGTTGTTTGAAGAGCTCATCTATTCTCAGTGACTTCAGTATATCTGTGCTGACTCCTGAATCTGTGTCTTGCATTCTGTCTGTTCGTCACACCTCTGGCCTTTTGTTATCCAAATTTGTTATCCAAATTAGAAACCTTCAGTCCTTTGGCTTATCTTTCTCTGACCTCTGAATCTAGCCCTGACTACATGAAGGTTCAGACAGACCATGCCAAGTTTTACCTCTGTGACTTTTTGTTGTTCTTTTGTTTGAGATATTCTCTCTGTTTCCTGTCGAAACTTACTCATCCTTCCTGGTCTAGCTCACATCTCATTTTCTCACTTTGTCCATGAAGCCTTCTTTGACCAGTCCTGCCCTCATCAGTCTTGTCTTCTCTGAGCTGCTAAACAATGTAATACTTAATTATCTATTATCTGCTTTCTCGTTTTGTTTACTAATTGTTTCCTGTTCTTGTTTCCAAACTTGATTACCACCAACCTTAGTGCAAGGCTCCTATTTTCCCCCCAAGACTTCAGATTGTTCTGTGTGCATAGAATAAGTTGGTTATACTTCACTTGGGTTTTTTCTTGTTTTTAAGAATCGCTAGAAGAGGACATCACTACTTCAGCTGGATTACATTACATGGCTTCTGTAAAAAAGAAGGTGGTAGAAAATCAGGATGCAAGTACAAACACAGAACCAGGTAAAATGCCACCCTGGCCCTTTACTTAGTTTCTTCGTTGTTGCCCAGGTGGCTAAAAGAAGCCTGGAATTTGAGTTGGAACACCTGGGTTTGCATCCCAGCTCCCAAACTTCACTAGCTCTTTGACTTTAGGAATGTCATTTTACCTCCCTAAAAACTTAGTTTTCTGATCTCTAAAAAGGAATTAATAATACTTGCAGCACCTCTTTCACAAGGTGCTGTGAGGAAAGGCCTTTGTAAATCTGAAAGGGTTCTATAAATTAGTTTTATTGTTACTATGTTTATGCTACTACAATACTTCCTCTTTTAGCTTCTCTGTATGAGATAAGTATAAGGCATTTGTTTAGGCTTTTTCGTTAAGGTGCTTTTAAAAGAGATTCTTAGTTATTCTGGTCTAGGTTATCTGTGGCCAGTTTTTGGTTCCAGATTAGCTTGCTCTCCTTTCTCCCCAAGCCAGCTGGTTTGTACATTTGGTTTGTAAATTGTGTAAACCCAATTTAATATAAACTTAAGTAAAACGTAATAGAGAAAGGTACACCTCTCTGTTTTCATGCATTATATATATTCTAAGCCAAACATAGATTATGTTTTTATTTTGGATTCTCTGCCCCAATTTCTTTTATTAACATAGAGAATTTGTTAGGCATTAAGAGATTAAGGCCACAGATAATAAAGTCAAGTTGGAGGTGGGTCTGAACAGGCATAATGTGGGAAGTATCTATAAATGATTGTATAATAAATAATAATAATAATAATAATAAAAACATTTATATAACACTTTAAGATTTGCAGAGTGCTTTGTAAATATCTCATTTTATCCTCCCAACAGTCCTGGGAGATAGTTGCTATTATTATCCCCACTTTGCAGATGGGGAAGTGAGGCAGAAAGTGGTTAAGTGAGTTGCCTAGAGAGTCACACAGCTAGTGAGTATGGTTTGAAAACAGGTCTTCTTGACTCCAAGTTTTCCCACTTTGTTAACTCTTGATGACTGAGTCTGTATATGGCAAGACTTTCAGAAGTCCATTAAATACCCAGACTAGTTTCCAGGAAAAAAAATTTTTTTTTTATTCTTGTAAACTGGTCTAGTATGTATGCAATGTATCTGAAATTCTCGTATTTAAAAATTGCAATTTGTACTTTTTAAAAAATTTACTTCTATCAGTAAACCTTTTGTAACTTTGAGTCTGTGTTAGTTGCTGGAAATAAAAAAAAAGTGAAAATTCCTTGCCCTTAAGGAATTATATTGGGAGAATGCAATTTATCCACAGAAATACATTCCAAAATAATTTGAGTAGGGTCAGTAACTTAATAACAGATGCCATTACTAAGTAGTAAGCAATTCCATGTTAAATTAATTTATTTATTTTTAGTTTTCAACATTCACTTCCATAAGATTTTGGGTTTTAAATTTTTTCCACCTCTCTCTTCTCCTCCCTCCCTAAGATGGTATGCAATCTAATATAAACTCTACTTGCAATTCCATGTTAAAATACATTTAAGTACATAACTGATTTGGCGGAGTATTTTTTTTCTTCATTGAGTTCCTAATTCACTCCAAAATAAGGAAGCTAATTTAAAAAATCATTTTTAATATGATCAAACTCAACAGATCATTTCTGCCATATGAGGATATAGTTTTTCTTTCCTTTTGATAATTGCATGTTACCTTAAAAGGTCTGTCAATTTAAAAACAAAACAATAGTTAATTAATTGAAAAATAGCTGAATTGGTGTCATGCAGACAATTCAATATCAGTGAGTTTTTTCTTTTTCTTTTAATTTTTAGTTGACTATAATGTATCATATTAATATAGTTTTTAAAAGATGTTACCATGTTCAGAGGATTCAAGTGGAAAGTGTTAAGAATGACAATGGTATCTTATCGAAAACTAGATTCCTAGCAAATAAAATGGGAACAGTGAGTCAAAATACATAGTAGATATGTCTGGCAACCATATATTGCACCTACTGGTATGTGGAGACTATCTTAAGAGGGAGACATTTTATAACCATTTTACTTATGGATAAAAAGTAGATACATCTTTAAAATATGTTTTTTATTAACATTTTTGAAGTTCCATTTTACATTATTGACACTTCTTTTGTTCCTTGGAGTTATTAAATTGTGAAGAAGAATGTTTTTATTCAGTCTAACTTAAAAAAATATTATTAGAGATTACATTATTCTACAAAAATTACTTTGGAATTGAATTTTACTTTTATTTCAACCATTGCCCGTTTTTACATTTTTCAAAATATGTGTTTCTGAGTTACTTGCCACTGTACTACCTTCAGAAAGTTCATGGTTTAGATTTGCTTCCTGAAATTTTTATTTCTTTTGGACTAATTCTTATTTTCTCGATTTCACTTAACTTCTAGTACAAGAATATTCGAGTGTTCCTCAAATGTTGGCTCCAGATGTTTATTTAAATCTCAGATTTCCCTCTGAAACATCAGAAATACCTTTGACATCTGATCCTACATCTAATGTGGTTTGTATTTATCATAATACATTGTATTCATGAGTGCTAAAATTTTTGTCATCTCAGTGGTTTTTGATGAAGTACATTTAGAGAATCTAGCCCTAATTTATCTAGTTTTATCATTAAGTTAAAAAAAAAGTAGAATCTAAGTCTTACTTTCCAACTGGGCTGCAAACTGGAACCATTTATTATCTTTTACTTCAGCAAAGCTTAGTAATGTTGGATATCTGGCAGCTTCATATCGGCTTGCTATTGACTGGTTCAGTCTCTGCATATCTCTGTTTGTATTTCTGCAGTGATGAAGCCTGTATTTAGATATATAGACCAAATCACTTTTAGCCCTTTACATGTTGTGTCCTCTAGAGGAATATAAGCTCATTGAAGGCAGAGACTGTTTTTTTTTTAATTGATTTTTAAAAAAAATTACCATGCATTTATTTTTTCTCCTTTCTATTTTTTTTCACCCCCATTGGGGAAAAATGAGAAATAAAAATCTTGTAACATATGCATGATCAAGCTAACATATTTCTCTATTGGCAGTGTCTAAAAATGTATGTCCTATTCTGCATCTTGAATTCATCAGTTCTTTTTCAGGAGGCAGGTAGCATGCTTCATCACTGGTTCTCTAGAATTTATAGTTAGTCATTTCATTGATGAGTTCTTAACCCTTTCAGAGTTACTCATTTTTACGATGTTGTTATTTTATAAATTGTTCTCTTGGGTCTACTTACTTTACGGTGTCTCACTTCATATAAATCTTCCCAGATTTTTCTGAAACTATCCATTTTGTCAATTCTTACTTCACAGTAGTATAGTACAATGTCTTGCATGTGAAAGCTTTTCAATAAATACATATTTGTTGAATCTAATTACCCTTATAACATAGTTGCCCCTACATGGAAAACTGTATATTTAATTCTTTAATTTTTTTTGCATGCTTTACCTCAGGTTGGACACAATTATATAAATGTCATTGACATTGAAGCTACTGATCTTCTTGAGGAATTGCCTGTTAGAGAAGAGACTACAGATGATATTGTTAATAAGCAAGAAGGTGATAACATGGAAATTCCAACTTGTGCAGATCTGCATTACATGGCAGCTTCTGTTACTAACGTAATTCCTCCTGACCAGTTTATGAATAAAGGTAATAGTCTTCCTTCTACTTTTTTAAAGCAGTGAAACATTTTGAAGAAAAAAAAGTTAATACTGCTTTGCTTTCCCTATTTTCAGTCTTTTTCAAAGATCCTTCTTCTGAATTTCTTTCTTAAAGTCACTCTTGGTCTTTGTACCTTTGGATTTTTTATATTAATGTGTAAAATGCCATCTCATTTTCTTTATTACTTTACACAGAATTTCCAGATCTCTTCTTATCCTTATTGTACTCTTAGAGATGAACATTTTCTCCCATCAAGGAACTACAGACTTTGTGATAGAAGAGCCAGAGGGCAGAGGTAGAGAAATGAGGAGCCAAGTTAAATTCACAACTGTTGCTTAGAATGAAGGAGAGAGGCTCTGGGTGAAGTGGCAAGGCCACCTGTGAATTAGTCATGTGGTATACAGGGTCATATAGTGCACAGCTTAGACTGTCATTTGCTAGGCCAGAAGCCTACACTGGGGTAGCACTGGATTTCCTGATCTCCCCTTTTTTATTGCCTGCATACTTTTGGCTGACCTTTGGTGGGGCTGGGCTGGGAGAAGTCACTATCTGTAGTTTCTCATAGAATTTCTTTATCATTAGTCAATAAGTACACTGCACACTTGAGAATTTTGCTAGAGTAGATACTGGGATATGGATGGTCAGCCTCCTCTTCAGGCAGCTTAAAAGTTCAGTGCATTTTTGCTCTAGATACCTGAGGCCATGGGTTTTATTTGCTGGTAGCTTTCTTAGATTTTGTCTCCCGCGAGCTCCTAAATATCTTTCCTGTTCTTCTCCTTCCTACGTTGTAGTTACTGCATGGTAAAATGGTATCCTTGTCCAGTATAGTAGAGTGGAGATTTCTTTCATGGAAGGGTTGGACTAGGTGCCCACTGATATTCCTTGCCGCTCTCAAAATTCTGTATTTCTTGTGTATTTCTCTTGGTGGATATCTGTAGACAGTTTTCTCTCATCTCTTGTTTTTTTAGCTTAAAGCCTCTTTGATTAGATTTGCTAGAATCTTGGCAAATACATTCTAACCAGCCATGGTGTGCTCCATCTATGGGCAGGAACTTATCATTCTTTTATTTTAAGATATGATCCAAAATAAATCCAAACGCCATTCCTGGAGAGCATCGTTTTTCACTTTTTAGTTCCCCAATCTGCCTTTCTCCTTTGAAGCTCTTGCTTACATTGGTCCAAAAGAGCTGAGAACAGTACCTGTGATCCTAAAGTCTTTAGTTTCTTGCCAGATTTTTTACTATTAGAATGCTTTCTAGGTTCTTTCTGTCATTTTTAGCTACATTACCAAAAGTGGGTAGTGTAGTCATCATCCGATTTGACAAGTCTTGGAAGTTTTTTGTCAAATCTCAGAAACATGTTCCCAGAAGAAAGTAGACCTTTCTGTTGTTTCTATCAGGTCAATAAATAGCTCCCTCACTGCTACTCAGCAGAGTCAAGTCCTACCACTAATCATCACCATTATGATGATGATTATAGCTGTCATCACCATAGCTAACATTTATATAGTACATACTATGTAGTAGGTACTGTGCTAAGCACTTAACAATTATTATCTCATTTGATCCTCACAACAGCCCTGGGAGGAGGTAGTTGCTATTATTATCCCCATTTTTTACAGATGAGGAAGCTGAGGCAAACAGATAGTGACCTGCTCAGGCTGGATTTGAACTCAGTCAGTCAGTCCTTCCTGACTCCAGGCCCAGCACTCCATTCGCTGTCTCACTGAGCTGCCCTAAATTTCATACATTCTTCCTCTCCTGGATACCTCACGTGAAAGCAGCTGTGAACTTACATCATCATTCATCAGAAGAGAGAATTCAATTTCCTGTTCAGAATACCGAGCTCTTTTCTTTGGGAAGAGTTTCATGTTTGTTTCTTAGCTTCAGTTGCAAGTGTTTAGTGGTCCTTCTTGTCATTCTCTGTGCCATTCTTCCATCTCATCAACTTCCTGACACAGGTTAGGATTTTGCTTGCTTTCTTCAGGTCTTGTTTCTTTGTTTTCACATGTGAAGCTTTTCTTCTGTTTTCGTAAATCACAGAGGGGCACAGGGAGGGGAACCCAGCCACCACCAGCAACCTGAAGAAGTGAGTGGAAATGATTGCATTAGTCACTTTAGCTTTCTGTTATTTACCTAGAGAAGAAACAAAGACAATGGGCATTTACTTTAACAAGATGAAACATGTATTTACTGTAACTTTAGGTCTGCTTTTATGTCATCTTCCTTTACCAAGTTGTAGTCTGTATGTCCTTTTGGTTCTGCTTTGATCACTGTGCTTCACTTCATCTAACTCTTGCCATATTTCTTTTTCTTTGCTTTGACAAGTTTATTTCCTTATCTTCTTAAACCACAATTTAGCTAATTTAGCAAAGGTTTATTTTGTGTTTTTTTGCTATTATAAACAGTGTTATTATGAATGTTTTGCATAGATGGGTCTATTATTCCTGACAGAAGCATAAATAAACAAACTTGAAAGTGGGATTGCTGAGTTAAACGTACGAATATATTGCGGGCCAAAATGGTCAGACCAATTTACAGCTCCACCAGCAGTGAATTAGCATGCCTGTTTCCTCACATCCTCATTTCTATTTCATCTTATGTCTTTTATCATCTTTGCCTGTTTAGATATATTTTGGAGCCTCAAAATTGTTTTAATTTTCATTTCTCTGCTTATTTGTGATTTTTAACATATTCTCAAAGCATTCTTTGTTTGCTATTCCTTTAAAGAACTAGCTAGTCTTATTCTTTGACTAAAATAGCTTTTGAAAGGCAAAGCTCGAGATTGAAATGTAATCATTTCATGAAGAAAACTTGAAATAAAACAGCAATTTCTGCTATACTTAATGGACTCTTATTTAACCCTAAATTCAAATTGCCTTGTATTTTGGACAACATAGCAGTCACAACGTAGCATTCTGTTCATACAATAAGAACAGTTAGGTCTTTGAAGTCAAGTGATAGAAATGCAATTTCTGTGTGTTTTGTATTTATTATTCTAGGGATATCAGTGTTCTTAATTTTCTTAAGTATGATTCTAAATTGTACTTTTTTTTAATATTAAAGATCTGCCAAAAGTACAACCTCAAGTCCAAAAATCTACTGTAAAATCAAGTGGTGTCGAAGATTATTTAACCTGGAAACAGTGCCAGGACTTCAGTGCTTTACCTTACACGGTACCATCAGAAAAAAACATTAACATAGAGAACCTTACCACTAAACTCCTGGAAATAGATGAAAAACTACTGGTACTCCAGAACATTGCAACTAATGTAGAGCAAGATTTTAGCAACACTAAGTTGGTATGTCCCTCCTGTGCCTTAAGCATAATTTTTTTCTTCTTTTTCTTTTCAAACATTTGATATTGGATTTTGATGTGATGTATTTATCATATTTAAATTATCAAAATAGTGTGATGTTTTCGATCTTAAATTTCTAGGAAAAAATGTTTCTTCTGTTATAGAAATTAATATTAAGTGCAAAGCCAGAATCTAGTTATGTCCAGATGTTGCTTTGTGTGCCTGGTTTTGTATACTTGTTCTTCTTAAGGAATTGTAAAGGTTCTTTTGTTGTAGGGTCAACATTTTATTTGAAATTTTTTCCAGTATATCTTAACTTATCGTTGTTTATTTCTAAGGCCCCTTGAAGGTCTAGCATTGTAAGATTCTCTGTTTTTATTCCATTTAAATGTACTAAGCTACACTCACTTTAAAATTAAATCCTATTTGCTGAATCTCCACCATTTGTCTAATTTTAGGGTTAAGCTCATTATTTCTTTTTCAGAAGTCATTGTTTCTTCTTTTTAAGCATATCCCTTAAATAATATATAATATTATAATTATTATTATTCAGCCATAATAGATATTTTAAGAAAATGTTTCAGTTAAAGAAACTTGAATAAATTGAAATTTAGGATTGTTTTGCTATTGGATATTTGTTTTCAGGTGGTGAAGACAGAAGACCCCTTGGAATTGTCATATTCCCCAGAAGTGGATAAAGAGACGACATTTTCACAAACTTTTAGAAGTCCTGAAGAGGGTTTGTATTCAGAAAAATAATGACTCACTATATCAGTGTTTGTTTATACTACGAGAACAAACATGCTCTTTGGAATGACAAGCAATTAGAAGATTTGGGGGGATTAGGAGGATAGGGATAAGGAAATGAGCTTGAGATAGATTTTATGTTATATTTTTAGTATATCCATTTTACATTTTCTAGCCGTTTAACACATGTAACAGGAGCCCAATAGTAAGCAGCTCTTAAACTTACCCTCTTAAAACCAAGAATTCAAGTTCTTCTGGTATTTTTATTTAAACTGTTACAGACGGCAGAAGAAGGAAGTGCAGAGAAGAGCTTCTTTGTGGAGTAAGGATGTAGCTCTTCTGAAATACCTATCTATACATTGGAATATACTCATGGGACTAATTGCCTGGAGTGATCACAACGCTGTTTGGCAGTTGCTATTTATTCAGAAGTAATCTTGAGGAATAGCAAACATGTAATGCAATTGAGACCCAGTGGAAAAGCTAAACTTTTAAATATCTGGGTAGTGATGAGATAATTGATTTTTTTTCTATTGAGAGAATGAAAATAATATAGTGACTTTCTAAAATATTCTTTAATAATCCTGCTTTGAGGGAGAATTGTCATTTTTCTGTATTTAGATAATTGTTAGAATCCATGGAAGTTACTATATATATATATATATATGTGTGTGTGTGTATATATATATATACATACATACATATATACACACACATATATATATATTGTCTTGATGCTAAGTGGGTTGATATTAATTAACTTATGAGATATTCCCTTTTTTGTTTTTTTTTTTGACCTGCCAACACTCCTGTCTTTGCTCTCCAATGGATCAGCGTACTTGTTTAGCCATCAGATTGAAGAAGAAGGGGAAACTCCATTACTTGAATTTCCTGAAACGAAGCATACCGTATGGAACTCTTGTTCCTTTTCTTCTGTCGTTTCATCTTTTAGCGTTTCCAGTGACCAGGTTACTTCTACTGGTACAACTCTTCACTTAACCTCTTTTTGCTTTTTATCTTATCAACTGATTATTGTGAACCGATTATTGACTGTTTAGAAAAAGTGTCATCAAAGGCGTTAGTAGTGCCATGTTTATGATGGCTTTGTGAAGTCATTTACCTTTTTTTCTAGATTACTTTATGGAGAAAAGAGAGTCCAGAAATTATACCATTCAAGTTGATTGTTGTTCATCTTTAAAAGAGTTTCTTTATCTGGATCTATTGACATGTATTACCAGTAGTGGAATTTAAATGTCATTAGTTAGAATTTCAGCTTAATAATGCCTACTTTTTCATTAAAAGTGAGAGAGCATTGAGAATCACCTGTATCTAGCACATTGTAATATCATACCCTTATATGGATAGACAGTGTGACATTGTAGAAAGAGCTTTGAGTTTGCAGTTAAATGATCTCAGGTTTGGTTGGAGTTCAGCCAAGTTCAGCCTCAATTTTCTCATCAGTGAAATGGAAATAATATTTGTACCACCTACCTCAAAGTACATTTGTGATGAAAACTCTTTGGAAATTGTAAAGTGCTAAAGGAATTCATGGTTTTGTTATGGATATATATTTCATTTGATACAATTAGTGGTTAACCTGCTTTCCTTTATGAAGAAGTAAAAGTCATATCTCTGGACCAAAGCAAGGGGCCAAATTCTTGGAACTCTTGTTAGATGTCCTACATCAGTAGGCCAGCAGGAACTCTACGCCACTGACACAATGTATTGCCTCTCTAATTACTAGTTTGTTTGACCAGCATCTGTTTGTAAGTAAAAGGTAAAATAATTATTGTTGTGACTATTATTATTACCTTACATTTATGTTACGGTATTCCTCTTCAGTCCAATTCGGTTAATTTGTATTGAACAGTCACAGGATACCTGGACTGTAGGGTCATACTCAAATATAAAGTGACACGGTAGAGGATTTTTGTACCCAGTGCCCATAAGAAAGAAAATGTGGTTAAGATGGTTTCATACTAACCAATTAATCAGCATGCATTTATTAAATAACTACTTATTTTATATAAATAAGCTCTAAGGGCCAGGCACTTTGCGATAGACAAAAAAAATGAAACAATCTCAGCTGTCAAAGGAGTTTACATGTTATTGCAGGAGATGTAACAATCCATACAATGGATGGAGCACTGGTCCTGGAGTCAGGAAGACCTGAGTTCATATATGGCCTCAGACATTTAAATGTCAATTTCTTCATCTATAAATCCATGATAATATTACACCTACCTCCCAGGAGTGTTGTGAGGATAAAACAAGATCATATTAGTAAATCACTTTACAAACTTTAAAGAGATGTATAAATTCTGGCTATTATGTGTGCACACACACATATATATGCACATACACATGTGAGTATATACACAATAAATACGAGGCAAGTTGTTTGGAAGGTCAGAAAAGGTTCCATGTAGAAGGTGGACATGCTGGAGTTTCATCTTGAAGGAAGTAAGGCGTTCTGTGAGGTGGAGGTAAGGGAGGAATCGTTCCAGGCATTTGGGATGACCAGTGCAGAGACACATGGATAAGTAGCCAAGGGGTAAAGTGCTGTATGTGAAAAACAGAGAAAAGACCAGTTTGGCTGGACCATGAAGGATGGAAAGGGAAGTGATGTATAAAAATACCATATAATAGAACTACACTGTATATAAAATGTCTATAATTTAGGAAAGAAATTAATTAAGCAGGTGAGGTTTAAGAACAAAATGATTCCAAAGATTTCAAAGTGCTTTTATATAAACAAATTCATTTTTCTTTATAACATCTCCATTTGGTGAGGGGAGGGCAGTGTTTGAATCAGTGATTTCATCAGCATATTGAACTGGTGATGAAGCACAATGCAGTTCAATAGCTTTTCAGAATTTGATAACCTAGGAGAGTTGCCAAGGTGCTGAGAAGTTCAATGATACATATTGGCTATGTGACTCTTCAGCAAATCATTTAACTTCTCAGTACCTTGTAACTGTGAGACTACTCCATCCATTATACCATGTTGTATCTCTGTCTGTCTATCAATCTGTCTGTCTTGTCTGTCTGTTTCTCAACCCTCCATTTTTAGTTGAAACAGATGGAAAAATTGAAGAAGTCAATGTTTCTAAGGTCATACAGTTTCAGTGTTGAAGAATTAGAGCTTAGCTGTCCTAAATGTCCATTATGATGTATTAGATCAGTTTTACTGATCAGCTGATTACAGAATCACTCAATTATTTGTCTTAACTCCTAATCAGAAAGATAGAAACTTTGTTCTTTCCTCACTTCTCTTTATGTGAATATCCCTACCTACACCTATCATTATTACCCTGAAGGCTGTTTGCCTATACTAACTCCCAACTGGGAATTCATAATAGTAAACCTGGCAGTCTCAACAGTTTGCCCATACCTCAAATTTCATTCACCAGGGCCTATTTTCCATTTGTCCCTCATAAGCAGAGAAGTGCTGATAGGCCCTTACTAACTTAGGCTCTGTCTTGAAGTATTTAGTTAATCTGAGTCATGGTGAGTGATAGAGCACCTACAGATATATATCAGGACCTAAATATTTAGTTATTAGTCTGGTCAAAAAATGAAAAGGTATATTTAAATTTTAATTTAGTTATATTTTAAAGACATTATTACCCTTTGAGCCAGGTTATTCTAGGGAAGCTATTTTCTGAGTTTAAGTTAGACACTTTTGGAGTTGTGTTAATTTTCATGCTGCCAGAGTACTGGGTGGTACTGTACTAATTCTGTGTTCTCACTAGTCTGTGTGCTTCCTCAAGTGCGTTATAGACAGTCCTTGCTTGAAAGAGTAAAAGTGATAAAAAAAAAAAGTATCTTAATTACCAGGTTGCAATATTGTTTGAGAGTATGTAGCATCTTTCTCATAAGGATATCCTTTTATGTTAATAGTATCAATTTGAATGTGTTTAAAATATTTTAATTACTAGTGACAAGATTTCTAAGTTTAACTTTACTAAAATTCTTATTAATGATAAAAAAATTTCTTTTTTAGGCACAGCTAGTAGTGAAGATTCTGTTGGAAGGTAAATATATCATGATTTAATTTATAGTCATTAATTTTTTTTAATTTACTATTTTATTTTCCCTCAATTACATGTAAGAACAATTTTCAACATTTGTTTTTAAAATTGAGTTCCATATTCTCTCCTTCCCTCTCCACCCCCCTCATTTAAAAGGCAAGCAATTTGATATGGGTATAATCATTAATTTTACTTAAAATTGAGTGTTGTATCCCCCACATTTTGTCATTTGTATGACTGTAAACTGTGGTTCCACATATTTTATAATGTGATTGAAAGCAATATGGTACATTTCCATTCATCCAAAACGGACAGGGGGATGTGGTGCTCTGATTAACAAGAGAATTATGGATAATCTAATGTTGATATGTTAGACCCTAGCTAAAGCATTTGTGCACCCTAGTCAACGCTGAATACTATGCTCCTCTCACATTCTGTGAGTGTATTGAATATAATTTTATATCTTCAAAGAGTAGTTTATTTCACTTTACCTTGACTATCCCTATTCCCAGCTGTTGTGTGCCTATGAAGATGTGCACCCACCTAGAGGCATTGATCTTCTCATTTAAGTCATAAAACTTGAGATAAAGGTTAGAAGTTAAAAATAAAACTTAAGACCTCTAGACTAAGTCTCATTCTCAGCATTCTTTTGCTTCAAGTGTGCATTTAGGCTTAAAGCTATCTGAAATAATAATCTCACAATTTGTCAGTTTGTGAGATTTACTAAGATTTCTTGGTTTGTTTTTTACCAGGCATACCCAGCATGAACTAGCTATTTCCTCTTAGGCTCTTTGTGGTAGCTATCACCATGTTAGATGGTTCATGTTAGAGACCTGGGTTTTTCAGCTGAGATATGCAGAAATAGCAAACAGTTCAATTCTGGAATATTTATTAAACCCATGTTCAGGAACTGTGAGATAAAGAAGTCAGATATCACTAAAGTTTGGTGGCTTGGTGACAGGAGAGAGGATGGTACCATTCAAAGAAATAGGAAAGTAAGAAGAAATCTGAAGGGATAGATGATCAGTTTTGTACATTTTGAGTCTGTGGTGACACCAGGAGATTATCCTGATGGAGGCAGACAGGAGATATTGGATGTGTGCAAGTGTTGGGGAGGAGAAGGGAGACAGAGACACCAATGTGCGGACAAGAAGCTTGGGTTTCAGTCCAGGCTTTGCTATTAACTGTGTGACTGTGAGCAAGTCTCTTGATCTTTCCAGCCTCAGTTTCCTCTTCTATAAGATTATAAGCGATCTCTAAAGATCACAGAATGATTTCTTATAAAGTTTCTTCCTATTCTAAAATGCTTTGATTTTATGAAATTCTTTTTATTTATTGCAAGGTCTGTGGACTTGAATAGGAAAACATTTATATCTTTGTTTTTACTGACCGCTATCTGAAATTTATTATTTTTTCAGTTATTTAAAAACATCCCAAGAAGGGCTCCATGACATAGACCAATCTCTGAGATAATGATGCAGAGAATATTCATATGATTATAGCACTTTAGAGTTAGCATTATGAACACTGGCATGACTGTAATATAAAATATTCTGGTAATTTTTTGTTGTTTAGATGAATAGAAGGCTTACTGTTAAAATTTTTATTTGTGTAATTTCATGCCCCCAGTTGAAAAAGTTTTTAATTGGTTGGGTAATTTTTTTCATTTAGAAAATGTTATCAAGATGCATCAGAAGAAAGATTCCTTCTACCAAGTAGTAGTTACAGTTCTTTGAGTTTGGGCATATTGAATGATTGTTATAGAATGCACTGTCAAGTGAAAAATATTCAAAAGCAGCCATTTTTCTCAGGGTTCATAGCTAGGTGAATATGAAACACTACTGATCATTAAATGTACATCTGTAGACAGCATGATAGAGTGCAAAGAACGTTAGTCAGGAGACCTTGGTTTTAAGTCTTGGCTCTGCTCCTACCTAGTTATATAACCTGACCTTTGGTCAGTCATTTTCCTCTCTAGGCCTCGGTTTCCTCATGGGGAAACTGAGGAGGTTAGACTTGATATTTAAGGTCTCTGAAGAGGAATAGACTGACAAGTTATTTGTGAGCTATTCAACTTAGTGAATAATAGTTGGGAAGTTTGGGTACTTTTTTTAAGATTGCTTTTGTGTTTAATATTATTTTCATTTCAATTACCATTGACTTGGTCAAACTGCGTTTGTAAATGAAGTATTTCAGCAGATTTTCAGATAACTGGACTAACTGATGTTGCTGACATAATTGGTGATCTTATCACTGAGAGTGGAGTATCTAGTGAAGAACTTGGTTTGACAGAACAGCAAGCTAGGAAAATTTCCAGGTAATGATCAAATGATTCACATAATATAATTTTAGGTTGAACTTTAGCTTGTTTAGCTTATTATTATTCATTAATATTTAAGATTCATGTGAATACATTAAAGTACCTGAAATATTAACCCTGACATAAACTTGAGATAACTGTTAGTTGGGAAGTTAGGTCAAGACAGATCCTTGCTAATTTTTCTGGTGTTTTTTTTTCTTCCAGAAACAAAAGATTTGAATACAGTCCTAGTATTTTCCTAGAGAACGTTATACTTGTAGGGCCACTTCATTTGACTCTAAAGAGCCACTAAAGTTACTGCCAGAGTTTTTTATCCTTAATCAAATTTCATCCTTCACTCCAGTGAATGCAAGACATTTTTATTGGGCTCATTTTGAAAAAGCTGTTGTTTTTTTTTTTACTTTTAAAGGGAGAGATGATCTCTATTGTACGTACAATAGGGCATGCAACTTAAAAAATTTTTTTAGGAAAGGCTTAATCAAATGAGTTCTGAACACTCTTCTTTAGGGTAAAGAAGGAATAACTGGGCTTTGTTGCATGAAATGATCTATTTAAATGACAGATCATTACTTTGATTTGTTCTATTATCTTCAGACCAAGCTACAAAAGAGCATAAATCCTTTTGCAAAACAGTGTTGCTTTCTGTCACACATAAACAGAAGAATCACTCCAAAAGTTGTATTTTTTTGAAAGATAGGAGTATTTTTGGCAGCATTTATGAATCTCATTGAGTAAACAGTAATTAGTTTTGACTACTCTCAACTGCAGAACCAGGTTTCAAAGGTAAAGGTACATTGACTGTTCAATCTGTCAGGATCCATGGCACCCCAAAGAAGAGAAAATCACAAAGAACAGAGAAGGAGAAAAGAGAGATAAGAGCCTGGATGAAAAAAAAAAGGAAGGAAAGGATGGCAGAGTACCTGGCACAGCTGGCCGAGAAGAGAGAGCAAGAATATGAGCCTTTTCAGTCCCAAATGCGTCCGGTAAGGCCTTTGACACAAAGAGTGAAGGGGCTGTAACATGCGGAAGCCCTTCTTGACCCGTCTGATTTTCCATTCTGATGTATTTTTTTTATCCTATTCAGTTAATTCCAGCTAAGATCAAGTATAGTGGGGGATATAGTTGGCATACCAGGTTATACTAATGCAAATATACCCAGACAAGTTTTTCCCTAAAGGGATTTGCGTGCATTGTACTTAGAAGTATGAATCCCTTTCTCTCCTAGTTTATTTTTATTTGAAATCTTTGGCTTAAAATTAGAAAGTGATTACTTCTTTTGTGTTAATATATCAAAGGAGTCAAGTATATACTGGGTGTATAGGAAAGGTAGTTGATGTTAATTTTTTTCCTCAACTCAGATAGTTTTCATCTTAATGTAGATGTAAGCAAACTGAACTGAAACTCTTTTCATATCGGTACATGATGGTTTGAACATTAGCCAAATGAGAAGGTAGGATTTTTTTTTTCTTCAGTCTTCCTAGGTGTGTTTATTTTATTCAATTGATCATTCAGCCTCGTGCGTTAAAAGCAGTCCTATTTACTCAACTTTTCAGTTTTAAATCTCCTACTTAACTTAAAGAAAATGTAGATTTTTATGGCCCAGCCATGCACCACAAGAACAGTCTCTCATGTATATGTTTTTAAATCACTCATCAAAAATCTAATGAGTGACTACTATGTTTAAGGACCCTATGGGGAACTGGCACTAAAGAAGAGAAAGTAATACTGTTGAAAAGTGCCTTTTAATGTTTTGGGTTTTTTTTTTTTTTGATAACTCAGGGGCATCATTATGAAATTGCAGTTATTGTGTGAGGCAGCTAGATAGCTCAGTGGTTAGAACACTGGGCCTAGAGTCAGGAAGACCTGAGTTCAAATCCAGCCTTAGCTACTTAATTAGCTGTGTGACCCTGGGCAAGTCACTTAACCTCCATTTGCCTTAATCCACAAGAGAAGGAAATGGCAAACCACTCCAGTATCTTTGCCAAGAAAACCCCCTAGACGGTATGGTCCACGGAGACACGAAGAGTTAGACATGACTGAACAACAGTAGCAGAAGTTATTGTATATTGTGCTGTAAATAGTGATGCTCTCAAAATTTGTCATATTGACAAATGAAAAGCTATTTCCCCCCACAGTAAATGTACTGCTGTGACTCTTGAAATCTTGTGTCTGCTTTTTATAGAATACTGTCACTTTTCTTTCTGCCAGCCTGTAGAAGTGTGTGCCTCTCACAAAGCTAGATACCCTTTCCACTCATTTTGCTGATATTAATTTGCTATGGGGAATCAAATTACCAAGCTTGTTAGAAATATTTGTGAAGCAAGAGTAAATGGACCAGAAAAGACTATTTTATGATTTAAGTCTAGGAGCTTTAGGCATGGAATATATTCATTTATACCTGTTTTGCCTACTAAAAGATTTTTTTCCCCTCTTCATTCCTGACTCTCAGTTGTGTTTCAAGTAGGTGAGGTTACCAGTTAAATGATAACCAAATAAATTAGATTTTACTGTAATTATAAAGGTTATATTAGAATTTTTAATCAAAAAATCAATTTAACATTTTGCTCATCTATGTAAAGCCTCGAGAAAGTTAATTGTTTTATGCCTCAATTTTTCTGCATATAAAATGGGCATGAACACCTATGTGAATCGTAGAAATGAACTTTAGTAGGCTCTTGAATGATAATGTTTACATAAATGATATTTGCCACTTTATCCTGTGTACCCACAGTATTCATTCTATGCTTATAAATCAGCCATATTGCTATAGTAAATCTTAAGCAAACACAATTACCACTTAGATTAAAAAGTAGAAGACCTATATTCACTTCCATCAGTTATACTGATAGTAAGAATACAAAAAACAATAGAGAAGACAGGTATCCTAATCTCTGAAATGCTGCCTATTTTCCACATAAAATATAGCTGTTCAAGAATGTGGGGACATCATTTGTAAAATAGTTTTTGCACAGACTTTTTACATCATTTTTAGGTTGTTTGCTTGACACTTGAATTGATTATGTTTTCTAGTTATGTGCCTGAAAGGGACTACAGGTTATCTAAGAGATACTTCATTCCAAACTCAATTCAGATAGCTTTCAGGAGATGGACAATGGTTGTGCAGAGGCAGCCCCCATGCCCGCGTGGCCCGTGTGCCTTTGGGGACCTTGCTTAGTTATACTTTGGAAAAAAAGCAAGTGGATGACAGAGAGTTACGGTTTCATATGCAGTCTTTTATGTTCTGGATCTTTGGAAATGCACTTTTAAAAATTCAGAATAAAATAAAATGAAAAGATTAAGTTACAGAGAGGTTGTGAATCTGTATCAGTGGAGGGAGTTTCCCATGCCCAGGAAATGACAGGTATGGAAAAAAAAACTCTTGGTCAGGTGACAAAATGTAAGTGTTCTGCTGTGCAGAATCTTCCCTCAAGCCTGTTGAGACTGCAGCTCCAACCAGGATGATTATTTCCTTTCCACAAGCCTACAGGGACATAGCTATAAAAGACTAAAGATTGTTGTGTGTCGTACATTTTTGCCAGCAAATTCCATTGCAGCTTCCCATTCAAGTATATACGAGCGGTGGAACATGATAACACAATTGTTTGGATTGAGCTAACTTGCTGTTTCTCGTGCAGTTGTGTATGACTTCAAAGGAAATTAGGCTGTATCAGCGGATGAAGAAGGAAAAAGACAGGTAAATTGAGCACATACACCACGAATGCTATCACCTATATTTGTGTAAATCTTACAGAATTTTCATTGTCAGACTTCCTGGCTACAGTCAGAAAAGATTATCTGCTGTGATAATGAAGTTTTTTACATCTTACATCAAAAGAGCTACTTTCTATAATCTCCCCTCTTTCTTAGTAAATATAGCTATGCTCAGGGGGAAAGAACACTACTTAAAACACTGAACATGGCAGGCTTAAGTAGGGTTTAGTTTGCAAAGTCTATTCTTTGTTTTTTCCTTATGGCTTCTCTTCTGTCCATATGAATCTTACATCTATGAGGCTTTGTAGTGTAATGGGAAAGGCACTGAATTTGGAGTCAGAAGTCATGATATGACTGGAGTTCCAGTTCTTCCACTTTCTAGCTCTGTGACTTTGGGTAAGTCACAACCTCTGTGGACCTCAGCATCCTCAGCTGCTTAACTGCTTACACTCCTTACGTCATAAGGCTCTTGTGGAGATCAAATGAAATAATGTATGTGAAGGGCTTTGTAAACTATAAAACATCACGTTAGCATTACAGCAGGAATATGTGCATGCAGACACCTTCTGCCTTTTGATATCATGGTTCTTAGAGGTGAAAACTAAATGCCCAGAATTCATTGCAAACCTGTGTAATGTCAAAATAACACTCACAAAACAGTATGTTAACATGTTTGTATTTTTAATTCCTTTTCCAAAGATTACAACTCTCCGAACACTATCATCGCCGAGTTACACAAGCATATAACCTGATGAATGAGTTGTTATTTGAGTCAGCACAGGTGCCAGGAAAATCCTTGACAAAGTCGCCAGGAAGCCCAGCTAAATCTCCTCGCGTTTCTAGGAGACGGCATCGTCTTCCTCCGAGCGGGTAAGAGAAGCTCTGACGTAGGTCATTGGGCAAAGGTCACTTTTCAGTTTTCAGAGGCAGAAATCCAGCATTTTGTCTTTCATCTAATTCATATGAGGCTAGGTCTTTGTGTCTGTCTTTAAACAGTGAATTGAGAAAGTGTAAATAAACCATGGTCACAAAGGCTTTGTGAATTTATAGTTACTCCATAAATATTAGTTGCAGCAGCACCATAAAAAGGGGTAAAAGTCTTAATTTTGTAACCTAAACAGCTAACATATTTGAAAAATGTACTTCATGTTGGGGCAGCTATGTGGCACAGTGGATAGAGTGCTGGGCCTGGAGTCAGGAAGACTCATCTTTCTAAGTTCAACTCTGGTCTCAGACACTTACCAGCTATGTGACTTAACCCTGTTTGCCTCAGCTTTCTCATCTGTAAAATGAGCTGGAGAAGAAAATGGCAAACCACTAGTATCTTTGCTAAGAAAATCCCAAATGGGGTCACAAAAAATGAGTTTTTGCAATTGAACAACAAAAACTTTATGTTAAATATTGGAGAATCTGATATATAACCAATAATATTGATTACAAGCCATTTTTTCTTTCAGAGTGATTTTCTTTCTACCTTGGGCCTGGGTCCAGTAAAAAGGAATAAATATCACTTAGAATATCTAAGAAAACAGAGTACAGGGTTACAAAATAATCCATAAATTGATTGGTCTATCTGTCTGTCTATCAGATGAGGATCCAGGTGTCTTAACGGATCACAAACTGAAAATGAATTAGCACCATTGTGCTGTTCCATAACAAGTGAGGCATACTATCAGGATGTTTAAAGAATCAAATGCATACCGAAGTAATGAAAAGAGAAGTATATTTAAAGAAGGCTAAAAAGGAAGTCATAAAAGGAGGAAATATAATGTATAAATAGTGCTGGATATGGAATCACAGGGATCTGGAGTTGAACCCCAGCTTCCCTCCTTACTTCCAGCATGCCCTTGGACCAGCTACATCACTTCTCTGGGCCTCAGTTTCCTAATCCGCAAAAGAAAAGGGTTGGAGTAGATAATCTCTGAGGTAGCTGTATATCTGCTTTTGTGAAGGATTTTTTGAAAAAACAGTTAAAAGATTTGGGCATGTGTGGAATAGTAGACAGAGGGCTAGTCATGCAAGTCAGGAAAATCTGTGTCCATGTCCCACTGCTAAGACATACTGGCTTCATGACCCTGAGCACCTTTCATGGATATAAGTAGCAGAACAGTTTCTGCTCTGCGTTAGCGAAAGGAGTTTTCTCATTGAGAGTTTTCCATACCATTGAAATCATAGTCCTGGATAAAGAAGTGTAGTCACAGAATGTCAGCATTAGAAGGGGTGCGTGCCCCCAGGACATGAACAAGACCTCTCCAGCAACACACCTAAAGAAGGGTCATCCAGCGTTTGCTTTTAGACCTCTCGTTAGTGAGGAGGAACCTCCGGTGCCCCACACATACCAAGCTATGTGGAGATAGCTCTCATTGTTAGGAAGGTTTTTCCAAGCACTCAGCTAAATTTTCTCTTTTGAAGCTTCCACTCTGTTGCTTCTTGTTCTGTTTGCTGGAGCCAAGTGGAACAAAGCTCCTCCCCATTCTGTGGGACAGACCTTCAAATACGTATACAGGTTAGCCAGCCTGAGCTTCTTGAGCCTATTCTTACATGGCATGATCTTGAGACCCTTCAATATCTTAGTACCTTTCAGCGTATAATTACTAGCTTCTCAATGCCCTTTCCCGAATGTGGCAACCAGAACAGAACCAAATCCTCCAGGGTTTAGAGAGGAGAAAATCCAGAGACTAATAAATATTGTCAAGTATATAAAGAAGAGCTACCCTTTCTACAGCTCCATTAAAAAAATAGTAATTTGTGTTAGACATAAAGAATGATTTGTTGAAGATTATAAGATATTGAAGGAATAGATTAATTAGAAAATTGTGAAAACACTTAGGTAAGTAGAGAAATCTCAAGTTGGTAAGCTTTGGTAAAACCACTTATCTGGATATGGATTGTGCTGTATTTGTGGGAATTAAAAAATTTGTAACTCATGCCTACTAATAATGTAATTTAGATTGTGAATAATATAATAATGTCTTTTCTACTTTTAGAAAGGACCGTAATATTAGTACCTTGTCACCAACTCGAAATGCCAAAGTTAGATTTGCTTCCAAACCTACTTATATTCATGGAAGATCCCCTGTGAGCCAACATCAACATTCATCTCAACGAAATAGTAAGATTCATAAACCTTTCGTCCCATATAAACATTACTACTTATGACCATTGTTCCATTTTTGTTGTTATTGCTATTACCATTAATAGCAATAAACATCGAGATGTTTTAAGGAAAGGGGCAGCTGTCTAGGGAGCTATCACAGATATGTACTGATCTCTTAAGCTTGATATCTTTCCCAAGAATTCTCCAGTTACAGTATTATTTCCTTTCTTTCCTAATGTCTAAGAATTCCTGGTCTTGTAGATATGCCATTGCTAGCTATCTTGAAAAGGACTACTTTGCTAAAAAGGAGAAGGATAGTAAGTCCAAAAGTCCCTTCCAACTTGTATTTGAGAGTGTCTTCATGTTGCAGACCGAAGTCAAGAGTGTTACATGTATTTCCTTTTCAGGAATGGCTGCTATTCCAATAACGAAAACAACAGAAATTACCACAAGGCCTGCCCGAAATGCATCATGCTCTCCAGACCTCTCCAGTCAAGGTAAATGACAAAAAAATAGCATGTTTTATAAGAAATGTCTCCCAGACAGAGACTTCGGCATGCAGCACATGCTCTGGGCACAGCAGTTGAATTGCCAGAGGGACAGCAGCTCGTTGTGTTTATATCCTTGGGTAATAACTCTGAGGGGCTGGACTGCGCACATAAGTTTAGCTAGGCCTCATATCAAGGTCCCCAAATGTAGATCTGTTTGGGCATGTAGGATTGGTCACATGTGTTGTGTTTGGCTGCTTTTAACAAATAAGTGGGTGGGGCTCCTACATGCAAAGTGTGCACAGGAGGCAGAGGGGTACTTCACAAGCTGGAGTAGGGGAAGTCTTTTTCTCTTTGTGTGGAGTCCTCACCCAGTGAGGGTGAGAGATGCTAATAGATGAGACCTCTGCTGTGGCACCAGAACCAGAGACTCAGCTGCTTGATCTTTGCAGACTATATGACCTCTAAGGTCACCATGCTGTCACATCTCAGGTGATTCCAGTGGACTACCGACTCTGTCTCTGGGCTTCCTAGTTACCTGGGCATATGCTGACTGGGTGGGAGAAGGACAGCTCTCTCATCTGCCTCCTGACAGCTCACAGCAGCTTCACTCACCACCAGGAAGCAGAAGAAACAATAGCTTTAATTTTTATGTTAACTTGAACTGTTTTCCATTGGAATAAGGAAAAAGGAAAGTATGTCTCCTCCCCTTCATTGCTAACCTGTTAGAAAAAGGAATTTATGTTTGTTGCATCTACTCACATACTTGCAATTCAGCTTCCATTCCCACTACTCTATTAAGACTGCTTTGTCTGTGCCTTAAGTACTAATTTTAAATGACTTTTTCTTAGTTTTTTTCCCTTTGACCTTCCTGTAGCATTTCATATTGCTGATCCTGCCTGCTTTCTTTATCCTCGATTTCCCCACCTAGGCATAGATATTCTCCAACTCTCTTTCCTCTGCCTTTAAAAAAAATTAAGCTAACTGAAGGTATGTAATAGTGTATTTATATCAGAAAAGGCAAAAAAATCATACCTTGAAAAAACCTAATTCTAGAGTCAGAGAAAAATATAAATCTTACTCTTATAGCTTTAAATGTGAATGGATTAAACAATCCACTAAAACAAACAAAAAAATGAAAGACTGGATAAGAAAACAAAACCCTACAATCTGTTGCTTACAAGAAACACATTTAAAAAACAAAGACATACACAAAATGAAATTGAGGGGATGGAAAAAAATTTACTATGCATCGAGTGAATCCAGAAAAGAGGAGTTGCTGTCATGCTACCAGACAAAACAAAAAGACATTCAAAAAATAAAAGAGTATAAACAAGGAAACTATATTGTGCTGAAAGGAACCTTAGACAATGAACTGAAACCAGTAATAAACTAATATGCTCCAAATGCCTTAGCATTCAGATTCACAAAGGAAACATTACCTGAGGTTCAAGAAGACATAGACGATAACAGGAGATTTCAATATCCCTCTATCAGTTTTTGGTTTAGGTTTAACAGAGAGATAAACAAAAGGCAAAATACAGAATTGAACAGATTTCTAGAAACTAGAGAATTAAATTAGCGATTACTAGAATTAAATTAGAATTACTAGAAATAAACTAGAGAAACTAGAATTAAAAGACCTATGGTATCTTCTAAATATGCACCACCTGGAACTTTTGCAAAAATTGACCTTGTACTAGGGAACAGAGATATTGCAAACAAATGTAAAAAGACAGAAATAGTCAATACATCCTATATAAACCATAAAGCAACAAAAACAGAAATTGGTTCAGGGACTGCAAACAAAGATACAGCCCCAAATGAAGGCTTAACAATGAAATCTTAAATAATGAATCTAAGAAGAAATTGTAGAAACAGTTTATGTAGAAGAAAATGATAATAATGAAACAACATACCAAAATTTCTGGGCTGCAGCTAAAAAGCTCTGGGGAAAATCATATTAAAATCTTAAAATCATTGATTAACTAAGTAGAAAAAGAGAGATTAATGAACTGAATGTGCCTTTTAAAACAAATAAACTTAAAATGAGCACAAAAAAGGAGATATTAAGAGTTAGAGAAGCACATAGATTGAAAACAAAAATCCCCATAGAAATGATAAAACTAAAAGCTGATTTTTTGAAAAGACTAATAAAATTGACAAATCTTTGGCTAATCTGATTAAAAAGAAAAGAGCAGAAAATCACATCAATAAAAGAACAAATGAACAAGATAAAATCATGATAAAACCAGAAGAAATAAAAAAGAATAATCAGAATATATTATGCAACAAAATATATGCTAACAAAATTGAGAACATGAAAGACATGTACCTTCAAAAATATAAAATACCCTCTTAGAAAAACTCTTAGAAGACCAGATAGAGGTTTTAAATAACCTCTCAGAAAAGGAAAAACATTTCACTCTAAAGGAACTACCAAAGAAAAGAACTAATCTTAATAGATTCACGGGAGAATTCTATCAAACTTTTAAAGAATAGTGAATACCCATACTTCACAAATTAGTCTCAAAAACTGAGAAAGAATCTGTCAGAAGTCTTTTAGAAGAGAAATGTAGTCTTAATTCTTAAACCAGGGAAAAACTAAAACACAGAAAAAGGCAAGGGTAATGAGCATTGACTCAGAAATTGTCAGCAAAATCCTGTCAAACAGACCACAATCTAAGAAATTATTCATTAGACCAAGTAGAATTTAAACCAGAGAGGCAAGGATAGCTCAACATTAGGAAAACAATCAACATAATTAATCATATTAAAAATCAAAACATCCAGAACCACATGATCTTCTCAGTAGATGGAGAAAAAGCCTTTGAATAAATAAATAAAACTTTTCTCTTGGATAGGATGACCTGGATGATGTTCTTCACAAAGAGTCTGGTGTACTGAAAATGTGGGTGAAGGATGCTATATCTGACACTTTTTAGAACCCTCACCTCTGGCCACACCAGTACTTCTTCAGTGGGGGGCAGATCACCTCCAGCTGGCTGGTGGTAACAAAGGCCATGGCCCCAGGTGCAGCTCGTGGCACCCATATAGCATCCTGGCTCCAAGCATAGGCCCTCAGCACCCCCAAAGCACATATTATCTGCAAGGTACTTAGTCTTCTAATTGGATGAGGCATTTTGGGATTCTTTGCCCTCATTTGCAAAATCCAGGGCTTACTAGATATCTAGGGTCTCTGTACTTTAAAGATATGATTTTATGATCCACTGAAAGGACTGGAAATAATTGCCATTCTAATATTGTTATTGAAAGCCTACGTCTAAAATATTATGCAAGTTCCGTTTTGTGATCAGTAAACACCTGCCTTTGAGTGCTATTTTTGGAAATTTTATAAAATTTACTCCAGATTTGTGCAGCTTTTTGTTGTATATTTGGCTCTTATCTCCTGATGAATTATCTCAGGGAGAGCTCAGAGAAAAATGAACAGCCTGGAACTGGATACTACAAAATGGTTCTCAGGAAGAAGAATCCAAGAAGAGCAGAGCTCTGCCTGTTGTGGCCACTTGTTTAGATTCTAGATTTAGAGCTGGGAAAAGGAAGGCAGAGGCGAGCGTAGTTTAACCCCCTCACTTCATAGCTGAGTAAAGTGAGGCCCAGAGGAGTAATTGTCTTGGTCAAAGTCCCACAGGCAGGGGGCAGCTAGGTGGCGCAGTGGACAGAGCACTGGCCCTGAAGTCAGGAGTACCTGAGTTCAAATCCGGCCTCAGACCAAACACTTGACACTTACTAGCTGTGTGACTCTGGGCAAGTCACTTAACCCCAATTGCCTAAAAACAAACAAACAAACAAAAAAAACAAAACAAAGTCCCACAGGCAGGAAATGAGAGCTGCTGTTTAAGCCTTTATCCTCTGACTCCAAATCCAATCTGCTTTCCACTGGTCCACTGTTGAATATGCCATCAGTTGGTTAAAATTTAAACTGACAATCCTAAAATTCTGGCTTGAGAACTTTCATTTCACCAGATTCCACGATGGTCTGAATTTTTCAAGAGAGTTTTTTTTTTTTTAAGAATTAATTGTTAGCATTTCAAAGCTTTATTTGTAAAATAATGTTGGGTACATAAGTTGATATAAGCCATTCTATGCAGCAACCCAGAACAATAATTATCATGCCCATTTCATAGGTGAAAATTCTGAAAGCTACCCAGGGTAGTGTTAGACTAAGTTTCCCATTGGCTGCTAACCTCTATTACATCTTGAACTCAGAGAAACAAATTTCACGTCCCATTTCTTTGCAGCGACCATTTTTTTTTTTGTAGCATGTTAAGTTTGCTCTTTAGCCCTTGTTCTGTTTTCTCCATTATCTTTTAATCTCTCTTTTTGTACCATCTGCCAATCTTACTTGCTATGCTGCTTGTTCATGTATTCAATGTCATCATCAGCTCCTAGATTCACTCGTCAGCTCATATTCTGGTGATAGATTTTTTTTTTTTTAAAGAACAGTTTCTATTTCCTGCAAAGATAGGTTCAAGATTTGGTCTTTCTGTAATATCTTCACTTTATAACTTACTCCTAGCCTTGTGAACTAGTCATTGACATCCTACTTAAAACAGGAAAGATAAACTTTTTCAGAGAGAGTAAGATTCTTGTGCAAGACTTTGAAGTGGCAGCCATGGTTCCTGTCTTCAGAATCATCATGGTGTGGGTGGCTGCTGAGTGACATTATCCTCATCTCTCTTCATACCCTTCGTTTGTGAATATCTAGCTTGTCACCTTAAAGTTCAACCAAAATTAAATGTCTAACCTCTCCTGTTAACAAAACATCCATCTCTTCCCTTAGCTAGGTTGTCCATTTTCTGTTCTAATAATGTTTTAAGAAAAATGTGTGTGTGTGTGTGTGTGTGTAGGGAGAGAGAAATGTTTGCCAGCTCTGAGCCCATTAGATAGCATAATCAACAAGGACATCAATCAAAGGCTTCTTTTGACTGTGTATTTGAAAATCATCATTTTTAAATAGATGGTATAAGATTGATTAGACTAACTTATTTGATTTTAGGTAGCACTCCAGTGTAGTATTTGTGATTCTTAGAATCTTATCATGATAGTTATTTCTAACATTTTAAGATAAAGTTATTTCTTACATATATCTTGATATATGACCATAGTATAAAATATGTAACTATGACAATAATGGTAACAGTAGCTCTTTTCTTCAGGAGGACATTTTGCTGATTTAGCAGAGCTTGGTATGAGAATGTTTGCCTTTATTTATAAACAGATTGCAAGCACTGTTGTCTAAAAAGTAGCTTTGAGTAGTTTGCTGAATGGTTATTGTTACTATATCAAATTCGTGTCAATTTGGAGCTAATCTAAGTCTGAATGAACCGTGTGTGTGTGTGTGTGTGTGTGTGTTTTATGGTACAGCAGGGTGCTTTTGCCAAGAGTATTAACACATACTAGGTTGCTTGTAAGCTTCAGACTTGATTCAGTGAAATTAGATAATAGAATAACAGCTTTGTGACTTAAACTAGAAATCATCAAAAAAGGAAAATGATAATATTCTTTTAAAAGGCATATACTCCTGTGTTGCATTCCATATTGTTTTTTACAAGTGATGTCAAGCTGCTTTTAGACAGTTCCTGTCCTGTCAAGAGTTAAAACACAAAGCAAAATCTCCATTCCCATACAATTTTGCAGTAGATATATTTTCCAGCCTCAAACTGCAGTTCCAGCAGCATTTTTTAGATCTTGATGTAAGTGCAAAAGAAATTTCCGTATTTCAAACTGCATTTAACTGTGCAATTGAAGAGCTTCCACCTAACCTTCAACTGTAAGTCATTAATCTACAATGTGAATGACATGCTGAAAAGCCAGTTTTCAAGAAAAGAATCTAATAGAATTCTTTAAATGCCTTCCAATCAGTGATTATGATTAATTAAAAACATATGCTTATGGAATGTCAGTATTTGAAACTACTTATCTGTATTAAAAGACATTTTCAAAGATGAACTACAGAAAATCTCATTACAGATCAGCATTAACCATTTGCAATTGATTTTGATGATAGGAAATACTCACTTTGAACTCTAATTAAACAAAATGTTATTCCACAGAAAAAGAATTCCATTCTTCTCACTGGTAGACCCATATTACCAAAAATGAATTTATTTTTAAATTCATCAGTAAAAAAATTGTGGAAACTTGTTTTCTGTTCTTATGTAAGTACCTACTTAATATCCTCAGTTTTGCATTTCAGCCTGCAAAGCCTGAAATATTTACTGTCTGGCCCTTTACACAAAAAGTTTGTTAACCCCTGCTTGAAAGAATGTACTTAAAAATGTGTTCTGAAGTAATTTCCTAAAAAGCCTCAGTGGCAGAAAGGTTTATTATCTTGTATCCCAAGGCAGGTCTTTCTTTTGAGTTTGTCTTAGCATCTATAAGGACTTTCTACTCCAGGCCTCTTAATATTTTCCTTTAGTAGCTCTTAATTTTTGAGCCATGAGAAAAAAAAAACAACTTATTCTCTCTCATCTTGATACTTTGATAGCCTTTGCTCTAGGATGGCACCATGTAGAAGCTATCAAATGCCCTAAAACTATATTGCTCAGACAACCTGGATTTTGGTCCTTGTAACAAAGAATACTGATGTCCGGACGTCTCAGGAACATGTCAGTATAGCCAGGTGTATAACCTCTGCTTTTTCTCCTTTGAAGACTTTGGTTATCCACCTCAACGAGCCACATACATAAAAAATTCTGAAACTAGTACATTCACAAGTAATGTGGAAGAGTATGGGAGGGAGCACGATAAAGTGAGTTCCTGGACTGTGCCTGAAGGGGTTGACAAGATTCTTTGCAGAAGTTCAAATTCCTCCCTTGAGGTAAGAATTATAACTTCAACAGGTTTTGCAGGGGAGTTGGGTGTCAAGGAAAGGATTGGGATGGGGAAAGGATGAAGGAAATCTGGATGAAAAGAAGAAACTAGCTTCAGCAAGGATGCAAAGGTCTGGGAATGAGCCTAGCATAAATGAGATGAGAAGTGTCTTTGTCTTTTTAAACTTCATGTTGCCTAAGGTTCTTGTCCTTTCTCAGTTGGATCTCTAGTTCATGAACCCCAAGGTCTTTTCTTCCCATTATAATACCTGAAGCCCCCTCTTTTCACCTTTAGTCTCCTAATACTTCTTTCTCTTTTTGTCATCTTTTGTTCCATGTGGATTTTAATACTTCATAACTTTTTTTTCTGTTATGAAGGCTTTTGCTTTGCAGCTCTTATGCCTTAGATTTCCCATCCCTTATGTCAGCAGTCATACCTTCAGTGTTATATTTCAGCTCAGATTCCCCATCTTCTTAGAAGTTCCTTGCTCCTTGCCTTACAAGAGCTGTTGAATAGTGGATGGATCTTTGTTCTCTATTTTCAGGAATATGTTTTTGCAGGGAGAACTGTGCTATATCTGAAGATGACTGAAATCAAGGTGGTTAAACCAATGCTTTTTTATACCAGTAGTTACTTTTCCAGGAAGCAGTTGTCCATAACAGGTCTGAGAAGTTGAGTCGCACTACCTTTTGGTTCTCAGAACCCTACATAATCCCACAGTCACTATTACAGCCCTATAAATCTTGTTGTACTTAGTTTATCTGATTTATCTTGATATTACATGGTCTTATTTCTTATACTAGGAAGATTTCCTAGACTATTCCGACTGGAGAAGACAGGCACTCGAAGTACTTGCCAGAAGCACAGATATGTGATATGGGAATTCCAAGTTTGAATGGTCTGAGCTTTGAGCTGATTGCTTGTAGGGAAGTTATGCAGAGACAGGATGATTGTGCTATTTCATAAACAGCACTTGGGAAATTTCAGTAGAGCCAGAGTTTGGGGGATGAAAATGGTATTAGCTTCTCTACATGAGGATGACTTTGGCCTCAGCCATTTATTTTCTTTCCTCAGTTTAGCAAGAAATTATTGCTGCTTATGTGCAAGGGATATAAAGACAAAATTCAAACAGTTCTTGCTCTCAGGGAGCTTATATTCTATTTCTTTGTGGAGTGATATACAAAGGGTCTTAGAACATCCCCTGCATTTGGTGCCCAGTACTCATGAGTCTTCTTCAGAGAAGGCTGGGGTCAGTTTGGTGATTTGTCACAGCAGTGATGAAAATATGATTGTTGACATTTTGAGGTCCCTTTTGGAAATGAGTAGAAGTATCCTATTGAAACCCTGACTTGATGCCAAATTAATCATTCAAGGTAATACCAGAGACACTTGTAAATGGGCTTTTGGTATCATAAGTAAGATACCTCTGTTCTGCCTTGCAGAATACAGTGAATAATATTCAAAACCACCTCATTTTAAACTAAAATTGGACTTGGAGGAATTCTAGCAAGACTTCTCAGATTTTCTTTCAGCAAGTAATCCTTTTGTAAGTAAGAGAAATATTGCTTATTTGAGGACTTATTAGATGATTTCCAGTCCAAGTGCTGCAGTCCCTCTATTTACCGTTACTGTCAACCTGGAATGGGCTGTGAACACCAAACATGATGAGACAGGTCAGGAGTCAGGGCCAGGGATCTCTTTTCAGGTTTTATTTAGCTTTTCTAAGCCGTCAAGAATGGGACTAACTACATTTTTTTCCTTTGCTCAATAGGACTTTTCACCAGTTGAAGATGAAGGGTTTCCCGTAAGCTTCAGTGGCCTGGAGAGTGGGTCTGAGAGCACTGGCAGCATCCTCAGCAAGATTGACTGGCATGCGATCGATGACCTGGTGGCCATGGTAGAAAACACATGAAGCAAGTTGTGCCTTTGGGGCCGTGTATGCCCAGGCTGCTGGGCACAACACTAGCATGACTGACTGCAAGAAATGACGTCTCAGAGAAAGAACCCGAACAAGAACCTGAACCAGATTGGGGGGATTGTGGCGAACATATTAACTAGCATCAGGGAAAATTCAGTAACGTGATTCAAGCTAGGAAGGAGAGGACGTTGTGCCAGCTATAGTGCCAGTTTCTGCATTGTACAAGGACAACCACACATCATTAGTAAATTAATCATATCACATGAATAAACATTTTCCTTAAATCATATGTTTTTATTGTTTTTCACCTTTAGGAAAACAGGAGAAATGTTTTCATGCTGTTCAGTTAAGAGTTCAGATGGTTTTAGTCCTCTTGTAAGTTAAATGTATACAGAACATTGTTTTAAATGGTTTTATCAATAAAGTTTTTACCCCCCTGGCCTCTATTGTAATTTAAATAGCAAATGTATTTACCTTATCTAAGTGAAACTGATTTCAAATGCCTGTTTGGCCACCTAAAATGAAGGGAAGCTTGTGAACAATGCATGTTTTTCCAGAGGGTTGTACTGATTACTACAGACGAAGTCACAGAGGAATTTGGGGGAGGCATGTCTAAGGTGGATGGGGACAAGATCGTTTTTGTGTCCAGCACAGATGTTTCTGCATCCCCTGGATTAGGAGAGGAGATAGTGGGAGGTGGTTAATCATAGGACAGGGGTGCAGTAATGCCTTTGGACTAGAGCTCTCCAAGAATGTGACCTGGGCACCTGCCTCCTGACCACGACCATAGGGATGGACTTGGGAACAGGAGGAAGCATGTGTGTCTGAATACAGCTAATGGGGGGACTGGTTTGTTTCTCATTTTTTTTTTCTAGGCCAGGAGAGGAGCCAGTGAGAAGGAAAAATAAATACATGTAGTCTAATTAAAAATAAAAAATGACTAAAATTTGAAGGTATATGCATTATTCATTGTTGGAATGCACCTGCATAATGAAAATATCACCTAAATTGATCTACAAATGGAATGCAATACCAATCAAATTAGCAAGGGTATGTATATTGATAAAGCTTAAACTAAGTAAGAATTTAGCAAAAAATCTAAAATCTCAAGTGAAATAGAGGACTAGCACTCCTAGACCTGAAATAGTACCATAAAGAAGAAATTATCAAAACTATCTAGTTACTGGTTAAAAAATGGAAATGTAGACCAGTGCACCAAACATAGGGACAGTCAGAAAAAAATGAATTAGATAACTCAGTGTTTGATATATCTTGGAAAATAAATTACATAGAGAAGAAATGCTTTTTCTTTGATTTATTCATACATCATAAATTGGTCTAAGCCTAATGTCAGCTAACTGCTTTCCAGTTTTCCTAGCAGTTCTTGAAGAAAAAGCATTTAGGGCCAGGAAATGTGCTGATTGCAGGGAATACAGACTCCACAAGGAGACAGTACTTGCCCTCAAGGAGCTTACATTCTAATAGAAGATAAGATATAGAAGGGAGTGGTAGCCAGGAAAAGGTGTCAGGTTCTGGCAAATGAGGGATGGTGAGTGGAATCATTAGGCAGTCAGTTGAGACACTCTTTACAGGAATAGTAGCATTTTGATTTGTTTAGTATTTTCCAAATGAGAAGGAAAGATGAAGATGGGAGTAAGTACAAGTGGGGCGTGGTGGGAAAAGGTATTAGCTATCATAGGATGTAGGGCCTGCTTTGGAGGCAGCTAGATGTACTCAACTTGCATTAATTAGGAGAACATGGTCCGAGGGTAGGAGGCAGAGCGCAGTTTCAGGGCATCATGGCAAGATGACCTGAATATTAAATCACCACAAAAAAGAGCAAGGAGAATCAGATCAAGTACCTTTTACTTCTGTGGTTGGGAGGGTATGGTTTTTAGCCAAACGAAGTATAGAGGCCATTACACAAGATAAAATCAGTGATTTCTTGACTTGGAGCTTATTTCTTTAAGTCATCTATTTCTTCTTTCTGGCAGAACTGTGTATCTGATGACTATCACTTTTCTTTCTGTCTTCAACAACCTTTACCCAAATACTCTCCATTAGCTTCCCTCTTCTAGTTTCTGGATTTTGTCATGAGTACTTTTTAAAAATATATTTTTTATTTCTTTAAATATCTCCCAATCACAGTTTTTTAACATGAGTACTTCTTAATATATAATGCTTATTTTCATGTAAAATAACTGTCCAGTTTTCCTTTGAATAAAATATATCCTTGGATTCTGGTCATGCATCTCATTTAGCTACTCATATAGGATCTTATATAGCTACTTTTTATGGGGAGGCCAGCAGACTTCTTTATCTATTGATTATTAGCTTATTAGAGAATATATGTTTTCTTAGTCATGTGATCAACAAAATGACAAATTACTTCCTCTAAACTCCAACTCTGTAAACCTCCCCCATGTGACAAAAAAAGGAATTATACACCAGATTGAGGAAGAAAGCACTATCAAAGTCCTTTTTTGAGACAAATACAATCCTAATGCCTTAAACCAAGTAAGTTTAATAAAGCAAAATATATATATATATATATAGAGAGAGAGAGAGAGAGACCAGTGCGATTGATGAATATTGATTCAAACATTTTGAATAAAAACCTGGCAAAAGACTAAAAAATCATTGTGATCAAATTGGATTTATGCCAGGGATGCAAGGATGTTTTAGCATTAGAAAGATGGACTTGTTAATTAACATATTAAAAATAAAAAAATCTTAAAGCACAGGTTATTCCAACAAATGAAGAAAAACTATTTGACAAAGCACAATATTTTTACTAAAAATCCTCTAAAAAGTATAGGCATAAAGGGATTTCTATATGATAAAAAAAGTATCATCTAAACACAAAAGCTAGCACTACATAAAATGAGGAGACACTAAAAAGTTTTCTAATAAATACAGGAGTAAATCAAGGATGCTTCCATTCCCTCACTATTTGATATAGTTTTAGAAATGTTAGTAATAGTGAAAAAGAGAAATTAAAGGCATGAAAATAGACTGAATCATCCCTATAGGATTTACTCAGAACATCCCATGGAATCAGCGAAGAAATCAATTGAGACAATAGAGTAAAGTTGCAAGCTGTAAGAATAACCCATAAAAATTCAACATTCCTATGTAATAATATAACCCAGGAGTCAATAATAGAAAAGAACTCCCATTTAAAATAACTGCAACATAATTTAAATATCTGAAAGTCAATCTACCAAGGCAGAGTCAATATCTGTATAAATACGATGATAAAAGTTCTCTTTTAATAAAAAAGGAACAACTTCAATAACTGAAATAATATTCAGTGCTCATGGCTAGGCTATGCCAACGTAATAAAAATTACAATACTACCAAGGTTAATTTATATATTTAGTGCTACCAAACTGCAAACTACCAAATGGATTATTTTATAGAGATAGACAAAATAATTTAAAAAAAATTAATTTAGGGGGCAGCTAGGTGGCGCAGTGAATAGAGTTCTGGTCCTGGAGTCAGGAGGACCTGAGTTCAAATTCAGACTCAGACACTAAACACTTCCAAGCTGTGTGACCCTGGACAAGTCACTAAACCCCGATTGCCTCACCAAAAAGCAAAAAAAAATTAATTTAGAGGAACAAAAGACTTATAATATCAAGGAAAATAATTTTAAAAGATAGGAATAAAGGAGGAATAACCCACTTCTAGATCTCCAACCACAGCATAAGCCAGAAATTATCAAAACAATTTGGTACTGGTTAAAAAACAGAAAAATAAAATCAATGGAATAGACTAAATATGGAAGAATGAGAGATAATCAGACTCCATAAACCTAATGTTTAATAAGCCTAAAAATGTATGTTATCTAGAAAATAACTTCCTATTTAATGAGAACTTCTGGGAAAAATGGAAAGTCTGGCAGAAATTAGATTTAGATCAACATTTTACATTCTATTCCACAAATTCAAAATGGATGTGTGATATCAGAATATTAAAGAACATAGTATGGAAAAATTAGAAGACAGAAGCAGGTCATAGATCTTTCACAGATGTGGTTGGGGTTGAATTCTTAACAAGGGCAAGAGGCAAGTACAAAAGAAAGTAATTTTGATTACATTGAATTGAACAGGTTTCACATGAGAATTAATGCAAGTAGGATAAAAAGAAGTGGTCAACTAGAAAAAAACCTTTGTATCTAATGTCTCTGATAAGGATCAAATGCAAGATAAATATAAAACTAACAGAAGTATGTGACTGGGGGGAGGAGATGGAGATGGGGGTTGGGGTCCCCCACAGGGAAAAGGCTCATGGTGGTGAGAGTTGACAACACCATCCTTAGCTTCAAAATGCTGACAGATCTGTGCAAAAACCTAGTGTTCAAGACTCCTGGTAAAATCGTTCCCTGCCCTCTCCTCCCATTTTATAGTCAACTCCTATTTTTGTACTTCATATATAATGACACAAATAATGCACAATACCTGTGGAAAAGAATTCCTCCTGCTTTCAACTGCAGATTCTGAACTTGGGGGAATTTGGTCAGCAGGACAAAATATCTGGCAGTGAGATTTCTTAGGGCTCTATACAACCACTGGTTCTCATTAATGGTCTAAGACTATTTCAGTCCATCGTGGAAACACCTGGAGATACGGCTTAGAAGACAAGACTTTGCCGTGGTTTCTCAGGCCTATATCTCCGTGATTGCTGATCTTGCAACATTTGTTGGACTTCTTGTTGAAGAAATGGTGAAAGATATATTATGGCAAAGATGGCATTCTGAATCCACTAACAATACCCCTGAATCCAAGTAGCTTGCCAGGATGTTTCCTTTAACAGACTTGTTACAAACTAGAAAATGAACTCATTCCAGTCCCACCAATCTCCAAAATAATTAGCCACACTGACTCTGGCTCTTCTTGAAAATGGATTCATCTTTTTATTCAAGATCAGATTTGGGAATCTTGCACACTGGTAACCAATCTGGAAAACCAAAACTGTTATTTTAAATCTGTTGAATGGTGCCCCTAAATATTCTTTATCAGAACATGTGATAGAAGACACGTCCTTAACCATTGTACTGAATAGCCACGGAGCCAATTATTATTCACATAAATATTTATTAATTCACAATATGATAGTGTTATATGGTTAGGTTTTATTCTTTGGAAATTCCTAATAGGAAAACATGGCTATCTCAATTGATAGATTCAAAATGTAGCAGATGAGCAAAAAAATGATCTTAGCAAACCAGTTTATTAATTGTTTTTAGCTCTTCTATGCTGATGTTCTCAGGGAATCCACTGCTGGAAGTAGAGAACATGCCAAGAGAGGGGATGGTGGTCTTGAAAGCACTAAGGAAAAAGGACAGAATTCCTCATTGTATCTTTCAAAAAGAAAATAAAAGATAACAATAAGCATGAGATATCTTTAAATCAGAGCAATTCATTAAACTAGGGAA